TAATAAAAACACAAGTCCTGGGCCTGTTCCTCTTCGGCCCCGGCCCAGGCCCAAGAAGCTCACACAATCTGCACACATCATTCAGACATACTTCTTTCTTTCCTTTACGCTTTTACTAAAGGTTCTCTCACGACACCTGGGCTTGTTCCTCTTCGGCCCTAGCCCAGGCTTGTGGAATTCACACACCAAGCAAATCTTTGTCTTAGATTCAACTCACAACGCTCCACAATACCTGGACCTGTTCCTCTTCGGCCCTGGTCTTGGTCTAGGAAGCTCATATAATGAAAAGCTGCACAACAAACAAGCCTTTTCCTTAAATACTGTTTCATGAAACCCGGACCTGTTCCTCTTCGGCCCTGGTCCAAGTTCACAAATTTTATGTTATCCCCAGCAGTGTTTTCTTCTTTCAACGTCAGCTCACAGTCCTTCGCAGCGCCTGGACCTATTCCTCTTCGGCCCTGGTCCAAGCCTGAGAAGGCTTGACTGTTACAATGACATAGTAAATTTCCCTTTTTCAACACCAACCTGGACCTGTTCCTCTTCGGCCCCAGCCCAGGTCAGAGACACCCAAATCCCCCACAAGCAACATAACGAGATACGTTCCCTCTCTCAAATTAAGGACGCTCTCTCTCGATTACTTGGGCCCGTTCCTCTTCAGCCCTGGCCCAGGCTAGAGAGACTTGTGTTATCACAAACCAAACTTTCTTCTTTTAACATCCGACAAACATCCCTTCACCATTTACCCGGCCAGTTCCTCTCCGGCCCTGGCCCTAAGCTTGGGGAGGTTCAAACCATTCAAATAGCATGGCAAAATAAAACAAGTTCTTTCTCAAACTTAAACAAATTATTTGCATGCCTAGTTAATTTAATTGGATTCTGATTAAATCCCGGATAAAATAAAAAGGGCATATTTATGCCAATCAAACTCATTGAGTATGAAAACGGGAATACAATGTAGGGGTCAATCGGGAACTAGCGCCAATCGCGTCGGCCTACCTCTCAGTTCGCTGGCTCTGGGGTCCCGCCTGGAGCCCAGCAGAGCTCCCGCAATCGCGTGGGCTCCTGAGCTCCCACGGAAAAAGTCAAAACACAGTCTAGTCGGGATAGGATCCCGCTAGCTGTCCTCCCCTCCAGAAGCCTCACAAGAAGATCGAAGAGTAAGGGGGAAAGATGAGTCRCTCAAGATACTCAAGGTTCTGAGAAAAGGTTGCTCAAGCACTTGCGAGAGGGCCTCCAGCATAAAGTGACGTGCAAGCTCAGATTCCCGAAGGCTGATGATGCAATAACCCCTGCCAATCCCAGTCAGCAGCATCACGAGCATGCATGTCGCGCACTCCCACCTCAACGAGAAAGATGCTGTAGAAGATGGCCACGCTAAACTGACAGGATCGACCACAAACTGCTAAAGAAAAACGACCATGACACTACTGATTGTTGAACCAGACTCCCCTCACGCGGAGCCCCCAGTGCTTGTACCGTCCAGACCGCTACTCAAACCAAAAAACTCGCGTGGCCAATCAATCCGCAGCGCCTCAAAACCCCTATTTAGCATCTTTACTCACCCGAATCCATTAAGGAACCGGTGAGTTACGCAATTTTCACTCCCGTTTTCCCCCTTTTCTCCCTCTCCGTTTATTCCTCCTCTTCCTCCTGTTTCGGTGCACCTGGCCAGCCCCCTGAACAGGTTCATACCCCACCTGGTGAATATAAGCAACAACGCAGCCCGCTTGGCATGGGGCAGAACAGCCCAATAGGAAGCGTGACGAAGTCCGTCTGCAGGGGCGCAACCACGGATGATGGGGAGGACAACAACCGCAACCGTGGGGATCGCTGCGCTGCTCACCAAATGTACAAAATGAGGATGAATTTCCCGCCAGTTCGTGGAAAGATACGCTGCCCTTACAGCCTCAGTCCCCACGCCAGGTAAGTATGCTCAATCCTATCCCGCTGCCCCCTGTCTTCCCCGTCATGTCCATGTTTACTATCTCCCCCCCTTTCCAGCCGTGTTGTCTCCCACACCTCTGTCGGACTGGCTCTCGCCATTCACCTCTTTTCCCGCTCTTCGTCCCCGTCGCTATTAACTGTGTTTCTCAGTTTACTCCTTCGTACGCTGCTGCTACCTTCTTCACTGAGCAAACCACCAACCTAGCATGAGAACTAACACCACCATCGGCCTTGCACTGGCCCAGAACCGCAGTTTAGTATCCTCCCTCGCTTGATTCCATTAGGACTGAAGTGAGATATGCGTTTTTCATTCACGCCATAACCACGCTCTCAATACCCCGTGCACCTCCTTCCTATCTCATAGCATCCCAAATACTGCTCCAACTCCCAAACTAACACCACCATTCAACTCGCAGTACCCAAAACCCCCTAGTTTGCCTCTTTCCTTGTCCGATTTCGTTAAGAATCGAATGAGCTGGGTAATTTCCCGTCTGCCGTATCCACCCTCCTCGGCACCTCCGCGCAGCTCACTTTTCTACTAACTTTCTCTCTACTAACCTAGCACTAAAACTAAGGCTACCACTGAATTCGCCTGGCCCAAAAATGGCAGAATAGCCTTTTCCCTAGCTTGATTCCGTTAGGAATCAGGCAAGATAAGCGTTTTCCACCACTTCTCCTTCTTCCTCCTCATTGCCTCCGCCTACTTCTTCTTTGCCCTTTTCCGTTGTTGTCAACTCCAGGCTCGTTCTCTCCTCCGATTAGCGCATGGTCCTACAGCAGCTCTTCAACTGCGGAGCATTTTTTTTTGGAAAAGAAAAAGAGGCCCATCCCCGATTTATGTGTGTCACTGCTGCGCAAGGGCCAAGCTAATCTTCTCTGTATCGTTCCAATTTTTAACGGACGTCCCGAAGGACAAACGACAGTCCCACAGTGGGACTGTGCAGGATCAGATCCAAGACTGAGTCTGTATTTTAACAGTTCAGAGGTGTACCAGCCGAGCCAGGTCCGCGGGCACTACTGGCGCAGCGGAAATGGTACCGCTTTCTCATCTATATCCAGTGGCGTCCGAACTCAGGTCTGTTGTTGTTGTTGTTGTTGTTGTTGGTTTTTACAGTTTGCGGGTATACGAACTGAGCGAAATGGGAGGCGGAATAAAACCTGCCTTCCCAGTCTCAGCGGCACCACCCTGCTTCATTTCCCCGCCGCTACCGAACCCAGGACCCGAACTTAGATCCGTGCTCCAACAGTCCACAGGCGTACCAGCCGAGCCAGGCCTGCGGGCGGTGGACAAGATAGCCCCCACTTCCTCTCCGTTTCTGTTGATGTCAGCTTCTTCGTTTCTGTCTAGTGCTCAGTCAGATCCCGGTCCCACTGCTTCGCGACTATCAAAAGGGAAAGCTCAGCTTCCRGACCTGCTGAGCTCCTACAGTAGCTGGGCCGRTCCGATGAAGCCCTCACGGGCCACCACTCCCCTACTATCCAATCGGTTGCGAGGGGCCAGATGACGGGCAACAACTTGGAGATATCATCACTGAACTCGCCTGCCCCAGGTAATTCAGAATGATTTCATTCTCCTTCATCTGAAGGTAGCGGGGTTCGAACTTGAGTCTGCATCTCAACTGTCCAGCACTGTATCAGCTGAACTAGGTCCGCAGGCACCGATCCCGCAAACCTGTTTTACACAGTCTGTGTGTGTGCCAGCTGAACAAGGCCTGCTGATACTGCTAGTGCTGTGGAAATGGCCCTGCCTACTCATCTCTATCCAGCGGTGCTGCACTCGGGCCTGTTTTTCAGCAGTTTGCAGATGTACCAACCGAGCGGGTGGCAGCCAAAACAAGACTTGCCTCCCCCTGCAAAGCACAACTTTACAATGTTCCACCCATCTGTTTCCAGCGGAGCCCGAACTCGGGTCTGTTTTTCAGCAGTTTACAAGTGTACCAGCTGAGCCAGGTTCGCGGGCGGTGAGCAAGATAAGCCCCGCTTCCCCAGTTTCTGCGGGTTCACTCCACATTCCTCCACTGCTGCCGCGTRCCGAGTTCAACCCCGAGGTCCGCTGGCTAGCAATCGAACCCCTCACTTGACTGGGCCAAGCCCATGCCCGGAGTGGGTCTGCGCARATCTCTACGAGTAGCACCAACCTCAGRCCCGAGTGTGCCAAACCCCACTATAGCYGCAGATAGTGGCGGAATCGGACGGTCCTAACTTTGTTGYCGTGCCAATARTGAGGTGGCAGACCTTCCTAACCTCTCGTTGGCCATCAACYGTTCCAAGTATTCTTTCTCAACRCYGGAAGGGTTTTCGTTCCTGGACTATATTTCGCTAGGTTGGGGATGAAAACCGGTTCGGAAATTGGTAAGGGAACCGAACCCAATTCCGCACATCCGCGGCACTCGTCGGCATAACTTGCCCATTCCACTAATAACGGATCCCATTAACCGGACCCGATTATTGTATAGAAGTAAAACAAAAAGAGACCAAAAATTTAATCAAAAATAAAAAGGAACGTGAATAATAAGATAAACGCAACGAAAAGGGAGCCGCGGACGCGGCAGCCGCGCGCCAAAATACCCTCCGCGCGCCGATCAAACAAGGCCTATACTGGACCGGGCCTCGTAGCCCACCGGCTATATACAGCCTCGTGGACACCCTTGGCCGACGGTCGAGKTTTACGCCAAACCATYTGTCACRGCATGCGCYGTAGCAAGGGCCGGTGCGTACTTCTAGTGTACGCACGTGCCATACAGGTGACACTTGTAATCAACCAAAACTGCCATTCGTACGCACCGCTGTGCGGGCCCATAAATCACCCCGCCGACTCATACGGTCGACGGTAGCCTAGTTATCTCTCGCGCGTCACAATAATGCGTGCCCCATGCACACTCTCCAATCCTAGCCCTACTCACCCTCACCGCCCCGACTACGGCGGCTCAGGTCGGAGTCCCGCAGAAAAAATAATGGGCGCGACACTATCCCACTCAGCATCGCAGGTACACATTCCGTGACCTGCACAAATGATGGCAAATACCCTTGTAAGGGTGTTTTCCACGACAACGCTAGCGCTCTGGCGCTATACCGTAACGCACCGCTAGAGTGCCGGTGGTTCGATGCCGAAGTGATGCTGGACCGGTACTTTTGTACCGGTGGGGCAGAGACCGGCCTCTATGCTGCGAGGCCTGGCCGTGCCCTAAATCGTCAAGATTGACGGTTCAGCCCCAACCGGCGGGCGGCAGCCTCAAGAGTGCCACCAGGCCCAAACGGTAATGTCGTTTGGGCCTGCCAGTCGGATCTGGTCCAAAATGAGGCCTTTACGGCCTGTAGTACCCCAAGGTCGGGCCTTTAGGCCCTACTGTGTCCCTCTGGCCCTAAGTCGGGTCCGGTAGGGCCCGTGTGGCGTCGAAGATGTAACACACTTCCCCTCTTAAAAGACCGAGCTACCTACGAGGGCGAAGTTGTCTGTCCGATACCGGGATGGGTCGGGTGGGATGAGCTGCTTCCTTGGCAAGGCGTCGCTTCTCATAATCGGCGAAGATAAGGGGTGCAGAAGTCTGCAAGTCTGCACTAGAGATCCACCAAGTGTCGTAAGGCGCACATTGCTTGAATGTGACCTTGAACTGCATTGGCTTGTTGCCATACTTGCGGTGCGTGATGACTCGGTCCACTTCCTGATGTCCGTCCATAGAAGGCGGATCCTGTGATCGACGGCCGGGGAACTCGTCGGCGGAAGGTGGCGTGTAGATGGCCAGCTTCGACGCGTGGGAGACCCGGTGCATTGTAAGGTGTGGAGGAATGTTGACCACAAAGGAAGGACCTGCGGGGTCGTCTCCAACGACAGAAGTGACTTCCCATGGTCCGAACCATTTCGGAAGGAGTTTGCGCGAAACGTCCTGCTCGAGCGGAAATTCCTCGGAGAGGACCCAAACAAGGTCTCCCTCGCGGAAAGGACATGGAAGTCGACGTCGGTTAGCTTCCTGCCGCATGCGGATTTGAGTCTTTTGCATATTCGCGCGGGCTTTGATCAGCAAGTCCTGGTACTTCCGAACGGAAGCGGGAGAGCAAGGGACGTATATGTCAGCAGCCTGTGGCAAAAGGAGATCAGCGAAGATCCGTGTTTTCTCTCCACCATGATGTAGAAATCGAAGGGTGTGACGCAGATCGCCGGGTGCACCGAAGTGTTATAGGCAAACTCGATGTCGGGAAGCCGGTCAACCCAGTCTTTCTGGTCGGGATGGATGAGCGTACGCAACATCATCTGAGCGGTCTGGTGCGCTCGCTCCGTCTGGCCATCCGTCTGCGGGTGTCGAGCCGAGCTCGGCTTCATTGTCGTGCCGGACTCAGCCATAAGGGAAGTCCAAAAGACCGACATGAAGCGAGTATCTCGGTCGCTCACTATGTCTTCCGGAACACCCTGGTTGGTAATCCGACCGGTGTGCAAGAGTCGTGCGAGCTCAGGCGCTGCAGCATGATACTTGCAAGGAAGAAAGCGAGCATACTTGCTCAAATGGTCAACGACCGTGAGAATACCGTCATGGTCGTGGCGATCGCGGGGGAACGGACCTGTCACGTCCATAGCAATGGAGAGACGCGGTGCCCGAGGAATTGGCAACGGTTTCAGTTCGCCGAAGGGGACTCAAGATCGACCCTTGTTACGGTGGCAAACTRCACATGACTCAATGTACCTCGGGACGTCACGAATGATGTCGGGCCAGTGAAAACGTTGGCGGAGGCGTGCTAATGTGCGGTTTACGCCAAGGTGTGCCGAAAGTCGTGCGTCGTGGAATTCGCCGAGACAACGAGTCTGTAAGATGCGATCTTGGGGCACAACTAACAAGTCCTTTCCTCTCGTGTGAAGGAGAAGGAACCCGTCGAAAATCCGATAACGGCTAGCCGGCGGGTGATCCGATGAAAGCTCTGCATAAAGCGTAGAGTAAGTCGGATCGGACTTGTAGCCTTTGACGAAATGCGGCTGCAGATCGTCATCGAGGTCGAATGTCGTGGTCACAATGGCACAAAAGTCGGGCCGTCGTGAGAGGGCGTCCGCAGCTCGATTGGCGGGATCGGGAATGTGGCACGGGTCAAAATCGAACTGGTTGATGTAATACATCCATCGACCGATCGTRCTAGTGACCGTGTCCTGAGTTTTGTAAAAGGTCAACGGATTGTTGTCCGTATTCCATTTAAAACGCCGACGGCCGAGAAGAAAGTGGCGCCACCGTTTGAGAATGGTGACGAACGCGAGTAACTCTTTCTTCCTAGCTTCGTCGAGAGTGTTGACGAGAGGCACCTTTTGGGAGAAATACTCGACCGGATGCCAACCATCCTCGTGACACTGTTCCAACACCGCACCAATACCGTATCCCGAAGCGTCCGCGTGACAAGCAATCGAAGTGTGAGGGGTCGCGACCGTACATGGGACTAACACTCCGTTCCGATCACGAATGTGAACGGTTCGGTCATGAAAGTTCACCGGATGATCGGTGCTACGCAACCAAGACATGTCTAGAATCATGTCGAACTTGGTGTCGAGGATGTCAAAAGACACCGGCTCGCACGCAAGTGGTGCAAAGTATACCGGAACACCGTCGACGCATCGGTCAATCGACTTTTGCGTGCGGCCGTCCGCGAATGTAACTTGCGTGGGTTGCGTCTTCCTTCGAACGCGCGGGCCAAGGCCTGCGCGGGCCATAAAGGCTTGGCTCATAAAGTTCCGAGACGCTCCACAATCAATCAAGGCACTACAGGTTGCCTTTCCGATTTGAATGCGGATAGGAGCGTCGGTTTCGGCGTACCTTTGGGTGGCGTACCTGCGGTCAATCTTCGCAAGATAGGAGCGGAGATCGACAACCGCTACCCCGTCGTCCGGCAACGGAGTTTGGTACTGTAGTGTGCAAATAGGAGCGTAGATTTGCCATCAAGGTGTTGCAATGCGGCCTTGGCAAGGTTCCGGTTGAGGGTAGAGTCATCCAAGCGAAGTCCTCTCTCGTGAGCGGGTAAAGCTCCTCAAGTCTTGACCACGCCGTCGAGTCCTCGGAAATCAGTGGCGAACTGACCGGATCACTTGCCGACGGTGTACAGGCTGCGCATACGCAATCTAAGTGCACGTGGCTCGACTGGTCTAGTGGTGGTACCAACTAGGCGGCATAATCCTCGTACGTAGCACGAGAATCAGCGGCTAACGTATGCTCCCCGGTAGTGACATCGATTGCTAGCAAGGCAACCGGGTCCGGCGGAGTGAGGAGAGACGTCGCCCCTCTCCTTGCATAACTCAGTTTCCCGAGTTTGCTGGACGGGGTACGCGTGCCTTGCCCTTTTCGGGGCATTGTGCGGTCAAGTGAGTAACTCCATTGCACCAAAGTGTAATGACCCGTCATCACACGGACTGTAACAGACAGCTGATTTCTGAGTTTGCTCGTGGAATGCATGCCGTACTAAGTCCCCTGCCTGTTGAGTGGGTTGTGTTGGGTCTGAGTGCGTGCCTGTATGTGGTCGGCGTGCCTGGGTGATGAATGCGTGCCTGACTGAGTGCTTGAGTGTGTGTGTGACCCCGTCGGGGCCATGGATGTTGGGCAGGCCCGGTAGGGCCGGTACTTACCTGTGGCGTGGCTTGTGAGGGGTGCAGCCAGGGAACACTCAAGTGG